TGGCCTCAGATCTATGTTAAAACCTGTGTGCGGTACATCGTTCAAAGTGCAGCATAGGTACAATATGCAATGTGGAATATGCACTAAGCAGTGTGCAACATGCTACATAGCGATTTTCCGGTCGTCCTTTATACCACATATGATGTCCATGTATGAGCGGATGATGCAATATGCTACTCGTGCGACCTATGGAAAATGCCTATTTGAGAGCCGAACTCGGGCTTTGGTTTGTGGAAGCGCGTTTTCACGAGCTGATCGGGATGTGACGTAAAGAGGTGTGTGAAGAAAGAGGAGCTTGAGAGAAATTGTGAGAGTAAGAGAGAAATGGTGAGAACTAGTCGATATGAGGGAGTGAGGAATAGCAAGCGTTTAGTCCGGGCGCCCAAAATCCCCAATTCATCATCATCATCATCACCAGCAAGCGTTCAAGCAGGATGCATCGTCTATTATGCTATATTCACCACATGTACAATGCGTAAATGATTATGTATACATATGCTAGTACTTTACCTCGTCTTCTGATTTTTTTTCGCGGCTTATTAGTCTGAACACTGAATTAATATCCCAATACAATATGGAAATTTGCATTTTTGTGCTGAGCGGCACCGCCAAATTCTGTGCTGTAACTTCTACCTACGTGTTTGACCTTTTGTGGATTGGAGTGCGCTAACTAGAGAGTAAGATGTATTTACCATCATGATCTGTAAGAGGACGCTCACAGTGGCTATGCTGCAACCTAGTGTACAATAGGCCGATCGTCTATCACATTCGGCATAGCGAACATGATGCCAGTTTGCATAAAAACGGTAATGTTCGGCCTGGCCAAATGTGCACATAATGGTGCTGGCACGCGCCTCTCCACGTGAGCGAACCCAGACAAAAAGTGTAATTGTCAGCTCCTTGGACCGACCCAGGGATCATGTCCCCAGAAATATCCTGCCGGCCTACGATAAATGTGGCCGTTAGGAGGATATGTTCCATTCAGATTGAGCAAGAGCCTTTTCTTTTGAGTTCCTCTAACGTTTGATAGCTATTCGTCTGCCAATTCGTCATTTCGTCATCTGACAAAAGTTCGATGATTCATGGTCATTTTCATCAACAATTTGCAAAACAGGTTGGACTTTATATTGCTATAGACTCGCCGTCCCAGTAAACCAGTGTTGTGTTACTTTGGCGGGGGGGAAGGGGGGGGGGGGGTACAGGGGAGCACTGCCGCTTGAACCCTATTGGCCGTAGCCGTAGTGTCTAACGGTGGCGGCCATATTGCGCAGACCAGGAACCGGCCGCCACCTGTGTTGAGGAATAGGGAATTCGGGACCTCGATTTACGTTTGCGGCCGCCAAATCCGTGACGTTCAAGTTACGTAGACACGGAGCCCGGCATCTTACGCAGAATTGAGTGGGGAACACGATCGTATCTTCAGAATTCCTCAAATTCACTCGACGGAGCTACATTTGCCCCGGCCGAGGGGGTTGATTGAACCCAGCTCGCTAATGCGCCGCTAAATCAACTAGAATTTAGCGTTAAAGTGGTCGTATGCGGCAGAGTACAATGCAGAGTGACTGGTGGGCAGACATGTGCTTGGATCCGGAAAAATGGATCTGAGATCCGATCCCATGGATCCTGATCCGAGATCCATTCAGATCATAGATCCAACCCCTCAATTTTGTCGAGAGATCTACTGGGATCATAGATCTGACCCTTCAATTTTGTCGCTAGATCCACTCGGATCATAGATCTGGCTCCCCAATTTTGTCGTGAGATCCATTGGGATCATAGCTCATAGGTGCTCAAAATGTTAACAACTTTCTTTCATAAGAAGTTTTGAATACCAAAGTATGGTTAGAAACAAACAATCTTATACAAAGGACATATTAGTAAAGGCATCCAGTTACATTATACAGAATACAAAATAAAAGAGGCTCATGACGGTCACAACTTGAGAGAATTGAGTGACATGAAGATTGTTCACAGTTCACATACCTACCAACAGAAAAGTTTGACATAGAGGTAAGTCAAAGTAATGACTAATGAACAATACATAACTAGGTACCTACCACATCACAATTCATGTTAGAATCTACATAATGATATTGATAAGACAATCTTGCATTAGACAACCATGAGGCTTTCCAGTTTCCACTTTCCAGCTACCACAATTGATTGATAAACAATAAAAGATGATACTGACACATGTGGCTTGGTTAGGTAAAGGTATTTCAATCTATTGAAAGAAATATTTGATAAAATAAACTGATATATAAACAAAAGTATAAAAATATTCAACAGCCTGCGGAAGCGATGGGAAGCGAAATGTCAATTGTAATGGCCTTGGATATTTACCGTAAAATGATTATTCAGTATCTAAATAGAACTCGTGACGTCATTTCAAATGACAAATGAGCTAGGCGTTCTACCTTCGAGTAAAATGAAAATAAATAAAAAATCAAACTGGAAATTCAAAAGTCTGGAGTTTTTTTTTTTAAGAATGTTCATTTTTTCTGCCTCACATAATTTTACGATACGATTGTTTGTGAATATCATCTTTGTAGCGTTGAATTTAATGACGTAAACGTAAGCTGAAACGGTATTATATGGCCCAGAGCGGTGTGCGCCTTGCATCTTTGTTTTATTCATTTTTCAAAAGAATAACAATATCTTACGTCATTAGTTTAAAGGGCCTATTACGGGGAATCTTTTCGAATCATTACGGTTTTGGTCAAATTAAGATTTTTCATTGGTCAAACGATAATGACGTAATAAAACCATATTACCAAAACGTGAGCTGTGAATTTCGTTTGTCTTTTTTTTGGGAGGTTCTCTCATAACAAAAGCACAGCATGGCACCACACACGTGGCACGGTGCCAAAAGTAGGTAATCTGAAGAAGTTGATGCCATTTTTGATCTTGTAATTTTATTTGGAAAGTATTAGAGGTTGGTTGCTATTCTTACTAAATCGAAATTGTGTTGCACATACATAGCTCATACGAACATTCTGGATTGGGATTTCATACCTGGCAGAAGTGGATTGCTGCATGTTTTTAACAAAACTGACCTATTTGGCTTCCAGGTTTGATTCCCTAGCATCTGTCCATAGGCGGCAGAACAGGGGGGGGGGGGGAACCAGGGTACAGTGCCCCCATAGATTTTGGCATTTTAACATTAGCCCTACTGGCGTTGCATGGAAAGAATGGGACCAAAATGAAAATCTGCAGTGCCCTGCTGCCACTGCATCTGTCTGTACTGCTTGTTCATTGAATTAAAGTGGCTGTAGCTTGTTGATAAGATTGTCATCAGTGCTGTCATGAAAAAGTTACAGTTGGTCACAAAAAGTAGCAATATGCATGTTCTTGGTTTATTTTAAATGTAGTACAAATGTTGTTTATTTAAATTCAAATTTAATGATGATATCTAATGATTACAAGTGGTCTTAACCAATAACCATGTCCACAAGTGATAATTCTCAATTGTATTGCACTGTAAGGTGTACAATTATGTAGGATAGGGGTTTCATTGGCTACATGTTGTCGTGAGATCCATACAGATCATAGGTCCTCCACAAATTTTTGCCCGCTGGATCCACAGAGATCATAGATCCGACCCCTAAATTTTGTCGAGAGATCCATTCGGATCATAGATCCAACCCCTGAATTTTGTCGAGAGATCCACCCGGATCATAGATCCAACCCCTCTATTTTGTCGAGAGATCCACTGAGATCATAGATCCAGCTCTCAGATCCAAGCACATGTCTGCTGGTGGGAATCCGCCTTAAAGGTCTCAGGTCAAATGGTGACCTCTGAGGTCAGGTCAAGTGACCTAAGGCACGGGTTCGGTTTTTGGTAAATAACTTCGCCAAAAATGGCCGTAGAGCCGCGATTTTGGCATCATCGTGTTCACCTAGCTCAGGCGCATCGAGTGATATGCTTTTTGTTCGGGTGAGGTCAATTTAAGGCATTGACCTCGTGACAAGGTCAGGTCAGAGCTCTCAGGTCACGAAGCTGGTCGAGTAAGGCCATGTTGCATATCATTCGATTCGGCAGGTCTTTCTCAGTCCATTTGTGGCTTTCCCGATTTGCTAGCTCAGTTTGATCGGGAGTTAATGAAGAAAAGTTTATGACCCTTGTGACGTCACAAATGACGTCACGCAAGGGCAACAATGCAAATATGAAGCATCGGGCCTTGCAAGGAGTGCATGAAATCACGATTCTATATGCTTGAGATAGTTTCAGACCATTCCCGGCGCCAAAATAACAATTTCCATATTTCCGCATTGACTTATAAGGGCTTAACGTATAAATTCCCTGTATCTGAGGATTCTTTAAGTTTTCATCTTGTTCTCCACCCACATTATAGAGTTCAGTGGCTGGGGGTCATTTGTTTTATTCGTTTACAAGTTTTGTTTTACTCGTTTTTCGTTGCTCATTGTTCTTTATTGATACGAGGCTTAGGTACCTATTGATTCTATGTGAATGTTTGTCGCTTGATGTAAATAAATGATTTACTCCACAAGAGTACCTATAAATTAAGCATAAAGATGAATCTTTGATTCAGAAAGGCTCTCATCAATTCAACCAACCCACATCCCAATGAGGCATTTTCTGGGTATGGGGCTCTTCCTAGCTCTTCCCTTCTGACTTCAATATACTGCAAAATGCCGATGCTGCAGAAGGCTGTTCGAGTTGCGGTGACTTTTCCCGTAACGGGTTACTCATCCGGCCATGTCGAGTTCGTGCTGGCACTGAAGCGGGGAGAGGGGAGTGTTACGGCCGTACCAGGGCGCTCCCCTCTCACCTTAACACAGGTAACATTGGTGGCCACTCCTCCCTCTGCCGTTCACCGCCGATGTTCCCTCCGGTGATGTTCTCCGCCGTCACCCCTCTCCGTGGCTGGTGACAACACCCACCGTTGATCCCTCTTTGTGACCCTCTCACCAGTGGTGGCACTTCCGTCACCCCTCCCGCCGTCACCCCTCCCGTGACGCTCCCCACCGACCTGCAGGTGACGCTGCAGCTGAAGCACGGCTCTCTGGTAGTGGCCTCGTCCTCTGGCGGCGTGGTGGCCACCCACCCGGTCCTCCAGCTGAGCCACTTTAGCCAGACGGTGGCCGACCCGCGCTGCTTCCTCTACTTTGTGCGCGGCGCCCAGGCCGGCTCACACGCCATGTACCTGTACCAGCTGCGAGACAAAGACATGGTGAGTACCCGTCGCTCCCGACCGCGGCTCATGCACCTGTACCAGCTGAGAGACAAAGACATGGTGAGTACCCGTCGCTCCCGACCGCGGCTCATGTACCTGTACCAGCTGCGAGACAAAGACATGGTGAGTACCCGTCGCTCCCGACCGCGGCTCATGTACCTGTACCAGCTGCGAGACAAAGACATGGTGAGTACCCGTCGCTCCCGACCGCGGCTCATGTACCTGTACCAGCTGCGAGACAAAGACATGGTGAGTACCCGTCGCTCCCGACCGCGGCTCATGTACCTGTACCAGCTGCGAGACAAAGACATGGTGAAGTACCCGTCGCTCCCAACCGCGGCTCATGTACCTGTACCAGCTGAGAGACAAAGACATGGTGAGTACCCGTCGCTCCCGACCGCGGCTCATGTACCTGTACCAGCTGAGAGACAAAGACATGGTGAGTACCAGTCGCTACCGACCGCGGCTCATGTACCTGTACCAGCTGAGAGACAAAGACATGGTGAGTACCCGTCGCTCCCGACCGCGGCTCATGTACACCTGTACCAGCTGCGAGACAAAGACATGGTGAGTACCAGTCGCTCCCGACCGCGGCTCATGTACCTGTACCAGCTGAGAGACAAAGACATGGGGAGTACCCGTCGCTCCCGACCGCGGCTCATGTACCTGTACCAGCTGCGAGACAAAGACATGGTGAGTACCCGTCGCTACCGACCGCGGCTCATGTACCTGTACCAGCTGAGAGACAAAGACATGGTGAGTACCCGTCGCTCCCGACCGCGGCTCATGTACCTGTACCAGCTGCGAGACAAAGACATGGTGAGTATCCGTCGCTACCGACCGCGGCTCATGTACCTGTACCAGCTGAGAGACAAAGACATGGTGAGTACCCGTCGCTCCCGACCGCGGCTCATGTACCTGTACCAGCTGAGAGACAAAGACATGGTCAGTACCCGTCGCTCCCGACCGCGGCGTGCTGGGGCTGAATTTGTCATATGTATATGTGGCAATGACGATATGTGGGCATAATTGTAATAATTGGTTCGGACCACTCAGTATTATAACTTCAATCAATATTTACCCTCTTCACTCATGCCTTTTTCGATTACTGTCGCGTTTTGAGGGATAGTAATGGCTAATTCGCTCGTTTACCCAACTCCGCACAATTTCTTTGCTTATCCAGAGCCTTCAGTGTTCGGGCACCTCACACTCACACCAGAATAATATATCACAATTAAGAAGCAGTTCTGGGACGGACACTCCGGTTTCTTTGTAAACACACGCACCCTCACGCCTCTGAAGTTTGTTCTAGTGTCAGCCGGACAGCGTGGCTGGGTATGACGACGGTTGCTGCGTGCGTCTTACTTTGGACGACCGTTTCAGTTCTTATCACCATGACTTGGCGTTATATTCTCGGTCGCATATGCTCCTCCCGTCATTTGTTTATGTTTTAGTTCCTGGACGAATACAAAGTACGATACAAGATGGTGAATGTGGCATAGGTGACACCAAGACAAACCGGAAGCGAATGAAGTAAGGCTCGGAGCCATATATTTTGTTGCAGTGTGATATTTTCACGCTCTGCTTTTATCCGGAGTTTTATGCGCAAGGCCCACCGACAATCAAACTCGGCGTTGACCTCAACGTGTTGTGGGTCTCGTAGTTATCGCTTGACATTCATACCACCAACACCCACAGGGTATTACGCACAGTCGTGTGGTTGGGTAGCAGGCAGGGCTGCCCCAGGGCCTCTGGGCTGCCCCTCGCGCGGCGGACCCATCTGCCATTGCGCGAGCGCGTGCTCACGCCGACCGCAGGCGGGATGTGCCTGTTTACTCGTTTGCGGGGTGTATGGTCCCCATCAGTTTCCGTGACAAGTGGAAGGACATCAATTGAGCCGTCGTCTTATTAATCGTTATTTAATTGTTATTTGATTCCAAGTTGTCGATATTGTTTGAATTTGGAGGATATATTGAAATGAAAACCACTTCAGATGTGGCGTAAATAGGTTTGAACTAGCAGTTAGGATGTGCTGGATAAACCTAAAACGTAAGCTTGAGCGTCGTTAACCCGCGCCGGGCCGGTGCTCTGAGATTCCGCGCCGGGCCGCGGGGGTGTTTGAACACCCCCCCCCCCTTCTAACTCGGCTCCTGGGCCACGTAGCGACACGCGGTAAGCGGCAATCGAAAGAACGTCAAAAATAAGGACGAAAACATTTCGGTCATTTTTTGGGTCAGGTCAAAGGTCAGGTCACCAGAAGTCACCAAAGGTAAAATGTTGACTATTTCAACATTTCGGAGACTGCCAACGGCTATCTCGGGAACCGATAGAGCTACAGCGTCGCAAAAAAGCGCATTCGATAGCCCTTTTACAGACCTTTCTGAGTAATGTTCTCAGATTTGACCTCAGGTCAACAGTTTAGCCTCCAGAGGGCAAAAACTCCAAAAATAGCCGTTTTTACGAAAAACGTTTTTTCGGCAATAACTTTTGACTCAAAAGAGCTATGACATTACTTTTGCAAGCATCGTGTTCCTCTCGTCGAGACGCGTCGAATGAACTATAATTTGACCTTGAAAGGTCAACTTGAAAATTTGACCTCAGGTCAAGGTCATGACCTGACCGGAAAAGCTCATGTTGCATATCAGTCGATCCGCAACGTCAAGCCGAACACATCTAAGGCGTCTTCAGCGCTCTAGCACTCCTCTATCAGAAGTTATCATCGAAAAACTGTTAGATTCTGTTCGTGACCTGAGATGACCTCGGGGACATAACGAGGGGTCACAGTTGCCATTTTCTGGTTCAGTGTGTCTATTTCACCTACATCTCGATGTTTGAGAGTGTCTAGAATAGCGTTCGTGCAAAACAGACTCTTTTCAATTTTCTCCCATTGACTTATAATGGAGAGGCCGCAAAATTGACCTGACCTTAGGTCACCGATATCTAAATTCCGAGATATACATTTTATAGATAGTGTTGCTCTAATCAATCGCTGAAAGTTTCAAGGCAATCGTTCAGTAGGTGTAGCTATGCCGAGCATTCTTATTTTTTCTGAGGTGAGGTCACTTGGCGTGACTTGGTGACCTGACCTAAGGTGACCTAGGTCTGAAATTTTCACAACATGTGCGGAAAAGATGCACGAACAGGTGTGCCAAAAACGGCGGCGCTCCGCGCCGCCGTTTTTGAGATATCTGCGAAAAACCGCAAGGGGGGGGGGTTCAAACACCCCCCGGCCCGGCGCGGGTTAAGCTTATTCTGCTTTCGCATTCCGATCTCTACGTCTGAAGTATGGACATTTGACCAATTGAGAGGAATTCAGCGTGCTTTTCGTTTTTTTGCCCCATGAACATGATTTATCACCGCACGATGTCAGTTGACCCTATATTTCCACCGTGTCAATTCTTGAGACTTGTAAGGCCTTGTTGATCTTGGATCTGTTTCTAAACTTACCTTTTACCACCCCAGTATTTTCATGTGCCATTAATGGTATTTGGCAGCACTTCCTACCGACTACGATGTTATAGTACAGTCCACAGCAGAAGTAATGTGCGGTTTCAGTCATGGGTATGTTCTGCTTCTGAAGCTTAGGAACGATTAGCCAGACTACAATGAAACTTTGAATGTAGCTTATATGTATCGTCACCCTTGCAGCTGCAATTTTAGCTATTGACATCTTCTTTTCGATCACTCCGCGTTAAACAGTCGCCAATCAAAGCCAATCGTTGAGATTGTTAAAACCCTACATTACTTTAGCGGTGGGCTGTACCACCTAACTGAAGATGGATATAAATCGACAGTGGATATGAAAGGGGATAAACTGAAGATGAATGTGATACATTTTTATGATGCATTGACATCCGCCCTGACGTGACATGACTATTCGAGCCATCATCTATTTAGTGTGAATGCACATTTCTCGTCACCTTTGCAAGCTAGTCATCTCCAATTTCTCTACAGTTGTGGATGCATTTCCAAAAGTAACCCGTCGACCTGACTCTGGTCGCGGCTCGGTTTGAACTGTTCTTTGACCCTGTGCGTGACCTCAATGCGGTCCTATCCTGTCCCCACCGTTTCTAATTACTAATTGGGCCTTAAGGCGATCCTATTCATTTATCCGTGGCGGCACAATTCCGCCTGGATGTCGTGCGTCCAGTCCTGTTATCTAGTTACTTATGTAGTTACGTTAGTTACTTAGAAGTCATGTCCGGCTGTCCCTCTGCCCAGTCCACCTTTTGTCCGGCCATGTCCGGGTGTTGTTTTGTCCTGTCCGGCTGTTGTCCAGTCCTGCTGTCTGGTCATGTCCGGCTTTTGTCCAGTCATGCCTGACTGTTATACGATGCAGTCCGATTTTGTCCGGACTGATGCGGCCGGTACCCGACTTTAACCGATCTGGGCCGACCCAAATTCTTCAGATAGTCGCTCGAAAACGTCATATATGATTATACATGTGTGTATGCTTAGTAGGCAATTGCAAATGGAGAACTAAACTGATTTTTTTAGACTTGATTATTAGATTGTTAGTATGATGTGTGGAATAAAACAACACGCTCGATAAAAAAAACTGATCACTTCCAAATTGGCACATTTTGGTAGGTAGGTATTCGATACTGTCACAACAATAATGTTGACCTGAAAAACAGGAAGTTTTTTTTTACCAGTCTTTGCTTTATGCTCCTTTCGGCAAAGTTAAGTTTTACTATGTTTTCTACAATCAGTTTCAGAATTCTATTTCACGGAGATTTGTTGGTCTCTGCCGAAGCTGCCAAGTGTCACTACACAGACGATGTCTAAGCGGTAGTGCCTAAGTGTAGAAATTTCCTTAGCGCCGCCGTGGCTTTTGACTGACAACAGTAATGTTTATAGTGATGTTTCTATCTTATGTGTGGCGAAAAGGAGATTATTCATAGCAAGGCCATATGTTTCGCATCACCTTTTAGCTACCAACATCACAGCTGATTTCTATCTTATGCTTTTTAAACTGGCCTGGCGAAGCGGCTCGA